GGGCGGGTAGGAACCAATTAGCTCATAACCAAATGAACACAATGACTCCACTTAAACACTGCGCATGAAAATACAAATGAAACAATATACAAACTACTATAAATTAGTCCATACCCATTGAGTGCACAGTTGCCCACGCACAGTTTCACATGGTGTGTGTTTGGGATACAGATCATAGGAAATTGCAGATTAAATAGTCAACTGAACCCATTAAGAAGAGCAATGTATTCAGACAGTGTTTTTGTGGATTTGATAGTACAATTGCTTTATTGAAAGTACAGCAGTACCATTGCCAATAGTGGGGTAGTTAGTGGGCTAAAACTGTACATTAGTAGTTGAGGTAGCACGTTGAAAGGCAGATAGTTAAAGTGTTTATATGTTGTATTGACTTAAAACTGGGGCGCACTGGTCGTTCACATGGGAAAGGTGTGGCTAGCCCTTGTTGCAGCGGTGTGGGTTGGAATCTGGCCTTCGTTCTTTGCTGCATGTCTTCCTTGCTCTTTCTCTCCCATCCTTCCTGTCATGCTTCACTGTCCTGTCAAATATAGGCAAAAAATGCCAAAAATGCAAAAAATCTTTAAAGCATTGTATGTAATGTAAATTAACCACCGCCAATTCCATTAAGTACATAACAGAAATCCATATGGCGGTTAGACCTAGATAAGAAATGAGCTCTCTAGCGCCCCCATTTTGTTTGATGGGGTCAATAATGGAGGGGTCCCCTCAGATTATGTGTGGTCATATGCCTACAAAGTTGCGTGGTGATGGGTGAAACCATTGAGATGTTATACACCTTTATGTGATGAGCCACGCCCTCCGCAATATTCATTGCCTTATAGAAGCTCAGTTTTAGTAAGTTTTCCAACTTTTGCCAAGAGGGAACTTTAGATATTGGTCCCTAGATTATGTTCACCCAGTTTCATGCAGATCGCTCAAACTTCCTAGGAAGAGATCCATTTGAAGTGTTTTTCAAAAAATTCAAAATGGTGGAAAATCTATATAACAGGAAGTTATGGGTTCTTGAGGCAAATTTGTTCCTCATGAGGAGAGGCATCTCTGTGCAAAGTTTCATGTCTCTACGACATACGGGGCATGAGATATGCCCATTCAAAGTTTGCAATTTCAATCGGTTGCTATAGCGCCCCCCTTTGGCCAATTGATGTAATATTGCTTCTTTCGCATCCTCCCATGACCCTCTACCACTGTGCCAAATTTCACATGGATTGACCAAGTCAGTGAGGAGAAAAACGTGGAACAGACACACAGACAGAGTTTTCGTCATTATATAGTAAGATGTACCCATTAATAAATAACACAGTAACTTAAGTAATAAAAATACTGCAGTATCTATGGTTATATTTGCACTAAACTTCACATGGAGCTCAAAACACCTAAAAAAAACTTTTCCCCCAGCTGACTATGGAGTTATTCAAAAAAATTTTTTTTGTTAAATGTCAAATATGGAGTGCCAACACAAAGCTAATGCATAATAATGACTTTACACTGCAGCAGAAAGAAAGGATAGATTATCCTGAGTCATACGATGTATGAAACTTGATACGGACTGAAAGAATAAACTCAGAAATGGCAGAAATCTCTGTCCAGGCGTTTCTTTGTCTATGTAAGCTTGAGAAGGTTAATGTAGTACAGCTGATCAGTCTCACTTCAGTTACGTCATCTGAATAATTTCTATTGATAAAGACACAACAGTGGATGAACTGGTGCCAAAAATACTATCCTGTTTACTCAAGTTTAACAGTCACTGTTAAAGGTGTGACTGTGAATGTTATGTGCCACAAAATATTACTGTGTAACAGGAAGTGTAAAATAGGAAAGGGCCTTTTGGTTTGTAGGATCTCCCTCTCCCAGAAAGCTGTGAGGACAGGTATGTTCTCCACATGTGTGAAAACCTTTACATGAGAAGCAGAGAGGTTTATTTGTCGCTGCAGTTTCGGGAAAGCAAAGCTGCTTGGCGCCGAATGTGCTCCTGCAAGTGTTTGCGCCCGCTCTGCTCCTGCACACCTGATCCTTGAGGACTTAATGGTGATTGATTGAGTGGCAGAAACACCTGTGAGGTCTGTGTGTGCAGCTCTTAACTGCCCAACTGGAGAAAATCAAAGACAGTTCACCTGTCGACATTTACAATAACTCTGCTCTGTTCAGTTGTGTCAGTGCTACAGCAGCAGGAGAATTTCTTATTGCACAATAAGAAATAAAGGACACTTAATGGTTTTCCTGTGCAGAGTATCTACAGTAAAGCATTTCAAAGTGCCTCTTATCGAGGAACAAATGGTGGAGGTTCATGTTCTATCTAAATGCCAAATGCTCTTTCAAGCAGACTGTTTGTTAAAGGAGGAGAGAGAGAGACCGTGAAAATACACCCAACAGTGCCAACATTATGTGTGTGTGTGTTTTTGAATTGTATTCCCTAAGCTCAGCCTGTATTTTAAAAGGGTATGACCAGTTTTATTTTCTACATATGAGGCACTGGGGGAGCTTTCTGAAATCGGAAAAATAGCCAAAGGGCTTGGAGACTACAAATCAAAATGTATGACTGTGTTTGTTCAATTTGAAAGACATAGATATTCAATTAAGGTCTAATTAAAGATGCAGTTGATTTGCATAATGGGAAATGTAGCTTCCAGTGTTTTTAAGAAGGTGTCCCCTGCTAGGGACTTAACATCAGGACGTCTCTGATGCTACTACATTGAGTTTCTGTTTCTGTTGAGTGCCACTTTAACGTAACTATAATCGTTTTCTTTCCTAAAAATCTATCAAAACACAGTGTAATAAAATGTTAAAGGGGTGAGTCTTAGTGATGAGCATACAGAGAATTATCACCTGAGTCTTGCAGCTTCGCTCAGCTGATGCTGACGCAGCGGGCAACAACTTAACTCATTAAATACCGCCATTTTGCCAGTGGACGTCTGCGTCAGACAGTAGCCATGTTTCCATCAGCCTGTTTAGATGCATCTAGAAGTATCGCATCGGAAAATTATGATGGAAACGCCAAAATTCGAATTAAAATCCCCGGATTCGCACAAACTAAAATACACTCGCTTTAGCCGGGTTTTGGTTGATTCGAAAAAATGTTGATTTGCAAAACGGAGGATGGAAAGAGTTACGTTCGAATTAAGTCTGACATAGTGCACCTCTCTCCATGGTGATATCCACACTCCGGGTCGGGAGGGCGGTAATGCATTTACAAGCTGGTTGCCAACCACCAGAAAACAAGAATGTGAGACTTTGTTTCCGGTTCTGCAGAAAACTCGTGCGAGTTCGTAGTTTTCACCAAAATTCCCCATGATTAAAATCAATTTTGGATGGAAACATAGCTACTGATGCACAGATGCATCTTTTGCAGTGTTATGACACGCGCCAGCTGACTGCAGTTTGGGGCAACTACTGTAGTATAAATCAGAATCAAAAATACTTCATTGATCCCTGAAAGGTAAATTGTGATTCATTAAGGTCGCTCCAATGTAAAGAACAGAGAATTATAAGAAGTAAGAATAAGATAGCAATGAATAAAATTAAATGAAATAGAAATGAAAATGTACATAAAATAAAATAAAAAATAAAGATTAAAAAAATAAAAAAATTAAGATATTAAGAAAATAAAATATATATCCTCACTGTACCAAGGCTGTCACTGTGAAATTTAAAGAGTGAGAAAGTGTGTATGGGTCAAGTGGGAGGGGTCAAACAAACCCAATATGGGTAGCATGCTACAGTTGCGGGACGTTACATGATGTCAGTAGCACCTGCGCATATTTTTGGCCAAGCCATGACGTATTTTTCCAAACCTAACCATGTGCTTTTGTTGCCTAAACCTAAGGATATGAACCTAAAAACAAAGTATTCTGTAACAACTGGTGAACCGAGTGAGGGTGGACTCAAACACTCGACTCTGGAGACAGTTTGGGTAAAATAACACAGCCTTTACTGGTCAAAAGGAAGTTTCGATACACAGAAGGACTATCAGTGGAGGCAAACAAACCCAATAGGGATGAGGCAGAGGCAGAGACAATCAACAGACAGACAACCAGACAACAGACAACCAAGAAAAGGACACTGGGAAACAAAAGGCTGGAACACTAGACACACAAGGAGCTAAACTGGCACTGAGAGGCCGTTTACACGTACACGGTGATTTTGATAAACAGAGACATCTTCCTTCGTTTGTGCCCTTCGTTTACACGCAAACGGAGATTTCTCCTCTGAAAACAAGTCTTTCTAAAAACTCTGGCCAGAGTGGAGATTTTGGAAAACTCTGGTTGCGCATTTGCATGTAAACTGAGATAAACGGAGATAAACAGAGTTATAGGCAGCCCACGTCACAGTATGCGCCAGAACTTGCGCCTGTGTCAAAAGTGCGACCTATGTTGCTATGGTGACAGTGGATACATGGAAGGCTTGAGCTTCTCGTTACACTGCCACCTACAGGTTTGCCATGCTCTTGTGTATATATACACGGGTAAGTGTAAACGAAGAATTTTTTGAAAACGGAGACGGTGGAATGTCCGTTTATGAAAATAGCCGGCCACGTGTAAACGGCGTCTAAACACTCTGGTGAGAGGAGGAAGGATAACGAGACACAGATGAGGCTAATCAGGGCGGGGCAGACAATCAGACACAGGTGAAGTCATCAAAAGGGAGGGAAAACACACAGGGGCAGGAAGTGAAGTGATCTGAAACCAGAGGAGATGTGAGTTTCAAAGTAAAACAGGAAACAACATGAATGAATGAAATAAAAACATAACCTAAGAAACTTGAGCTGTGACATGTTTAAAAAGGCAATGATATGCCAACACTGTGTTCACAGCTTATGTTGGCTGCTATCCAGTGGCCAAAAAAATCAGATGGAAGTTTAGGCAAGATAAAAAACTCCAGTAATCTAAGAAACTGCTAATTGTTCTATATGGTTGACCAGCTGTTTTAATTCATCATGAGATTGTACACCAGCTAACAAAAATCCCCCTCTCATCAACCTCCTGCAGGTGTTTGGAGGTTTGGTGTGGATCCTGGTGGCGTCGACTCTAGTCGAGCCAGACAACCCTCTGGGCTGGGTGATGTTCGTGTCTGTCTTCTGCTTTGTACTGACGACCCTTTGGTTCTTCATCTTCCTCTGCGGAGGCAATCAGAGCAGCATCTGGCCCTCCCTGGTAAGAGACGCTCTCCCCCTCCTGCTGATACCTGGTTAATGGCGGATAGATAGATGGCCAAAAGTGTGTGGATGCCTGAACAGTACCTGAACATCTGATGTTTTGAATGCAGAGCTCTGTGCAGGCTGGTCAAGCTCTTCCACACCAAACTTGTTGTGCTGAGTGATGGGCCCTCCGCAGTCTGTAGCTATCCACAAAGCTGGAAGTTTTCAGATGTCTAGAATATCATTTTATGCTGTAATATTAAAAATACTACAGCATGCAGGGGCGTCCACATACTTTTTGGCATGTAACGTAGATTGTTCTTCCTCTGCTGCCTTCTTCCTTTAACTACCCGTTGATTTACCCCCTCTTCCTTGTCTCTATGTCTGTTCAGGATGTTGGTTATCATTTTGTGGCAGTGGTTTTCTACCTCAGTGCGTCGGTGGATCTGGCATACATCACCATTCTGGCAGGCAGAGGTGTGCAGATTACTAGCCTTCCTGGCTTTCTCAAGATCTACCGACTGGATATTTCTGCAGTGGTATGTCAAACACACTCACGTACACATCCTACCTATTGCTATACTTAGATATACTACAATATTCTGATATACTGTAACTCAATTAAGGCGACAGAAGAAGCTTTTATTTACTTTAAATTCACAGATGAGAAACAATAAATTGTGAAGACAATAAAGCCTCCACAACAATAACATTTTAAGTCTTGTGTGTGATTTATCCTGGCTTCATATGAGCAGGGGAAATCTCCTCTTGTCGCTAGGCTAATGTATACAATGTAAAATGCCATAGGCTTGTGCTAATAACATTAGCATGTTGTATTTGTTTGGAAAACGTGTTTAGTATGAGACAGTTGTTTTGTCAGTGAACCTTGTGAGTTGTAATGGAGCCAAATTTTGTAACGTTACCTTTGTTAAATGTCGCTGTTGTCCCTGGATTAATAGGAGAAGAAAATGTCGCTAGCTGCTAGGCTAATTTATACAATGTTAAATGCCATAGGCTTGTGCTAATAACATTAGCATGTTGTATTTGTGGGGAAAATGTGTCCAGATCATAGACTGTATAAAAATAAGATAAAGACAAGTGTTTGTCTGTGAATGCTGCAAGTTAGAGTGAAGCTGATTTGTGTACTTGTGTTTGGAAAAAAACTTCACAGAAACCTCCGCTGCCAACTAGTGTTTTGGAAGTGTAACTGCAGAGTGACACAGACACACCACCACACAAGTATAAATGCTCGCAACGGTGTAGACTCTGAGAGCTGACGCACAAGTATAAATCTGCTTTAGAAATAAAGTTCTGTGGGTTTGAGCAATTGTTGGCTGCACAGCATTAATTTTTAATGACTAGGAGGACTGAAGATATAATACCACCTTGCACCTCTGATGCAATCCTGTGTGGATATTCAAATCAGCATGCATCTCTGTCTTGTTTAATCAGTGTATTGACACCTGTGGCTCCCAGGCTTTGTAATACCTCAATATGACAATAATCGGTCTGTGTGTGTATGCGTGTGTTACCAGGTGATGTCCTACGTGGCCACTCTTCTCTACTTCCTCCATGCCATTTTTTCTGCCATCCGATGGAAGAGGTCCTAATGAAACAAAACACAAACTAAGTCCAAGAAGCCCAAGACGAGAAGAAACAAAATAACCAGCGGACTTGTCATTGGACTAAACACAGAATGACCTTTTTGTTCTTTTTTATTTTCATGTCAGCAAGAGGAACTTATTCTTGATCCAAAGTGCCAGAACATCAAATGAATTAATGAGTGGCAAACAAGCAGGTTTATTCATAAATGTTACTTGTTACCCCACGTTTTAATATTTTTTAATCAGAGAGGCGGAGGTTTGGTCAGAAGTCGAACAAGCCTGTTCAAGTTAATCTTTTTTAATAGAAATAAATGTATAAGAAACACAGTAAACAGTAAATGGAAGGTTATACGGAAGGTTAATGAGTGTAAATAAGTAATTCAACCACAGATCTAATTAAATATCCAGGAGCAGGTACACATCATGATATTTTAAGATTTTTTTTTATAGGATATCTGAATTTTTTTTTTACTTGGTTCTGTAATTTTTCACCAAATTAGAGGAAGAGCTTAAAGGGTCAGTTCACCCAAATCACAAGAAGCATTTTTTAACTTACTGAACACACGGTCGACACGTTACATTAAGGGTCTAGTGTGTAGGATTTAGGATTTATCAATACCACTATACAGCTTACGTGTATGTGCTGTGCTGTCATTTTGGTAAATTTCTTTGAAGTGACCCATTTTGTAAGAGTCTAGTGTGAAAGATCTAGCGGCGAGGTTGCAGAACTCAGACTCCTCCTGTGTGCCAAGTGTGTAGGAGAACAACGGTGGCTGACACAAAAACATAAATGGTCCTATCTAGGGCCAGTGTTTGATTTATCCATTCTGGGCTACTGTAGAACAAGATGGCGGACTCCATGGAAGAGGACCTGCTCTGTACGTAGATGTAAATATCTCATTATAAGGTAACAGAAATGCAACCATGCTATTCTTGAGGGTAGATATCAGTTCAGTTGTTTGCAGCTTTTTCTGAGGAACAACCACAGTAACCAGGAAAAGATGAGTTTCCAATGCTGTGAGCACCTCAACTTAGATTTAATTTACTAAACTGGGTAAGTGAGAAAATGTTTTTAGTGATTTGGGTGAACCAGTGTTTCATTAAAGGCTCAGTCTGTCTTGTTAGTTACTAACAATAACATGTTAAAGGGGTACTCCAGTGATCTAGTATTGTACTTCTTTAATTTGAATGGGGCACAGATTTGTCTCAGATCGTCAAAAATTGAAGCAGCACAGGCCAAAATATCCCAACTTTTAGTCCCTACAGTAATCTGGGACAAATATTGAAAGTATTGGGTCCTACAAAACCCTCTCTGGCAGCCAGGGTCACAATTTATACACTCTTTCTTTTCTAAATTTGAAATCTACAAGCCCAAACTGACAAATACCCTAGTGACATCATTAGGGTTACTTTCTTGACCTAACACTACGGCCCTGTTCACACTTGGTATTGACGTGCGTGGGTGATCGGATCACAAGTGGACAGCTCTAAGAACAGGTGTAAATGCACCAAATAGAGTGTGCCAGTAAACCCGGAACTCCGTTAGCGCTTTTAGCCCTTCCGGTTCTCTCGTCTAAAAGTCAGTACGTTTTTTGAATGGGATTTTGGTAAAATGCCTCAAATAAGGTCTGTGGTTAACAAAAGCTTAAGCAAGTTTCAGGTTTTGTTCTACGACATAAAACACGTCAGTAAATACCCTACTTGTGAATTTTGAATCTTTTACGTGTCGTAAAAAAAGCGGTTGCTAACAAGTTGCTCAATACGACTACAAACCCTGTCAGGGACATTAAACGTCATCAACCCCGAACAGGCGAGAGTGCTGGCAGTCCGCCATTACAGCTTCTTATTTAGCTTAAACAGTCCGATTTCCCCATTATACAATGTTTTTAAAATAAAGCAGCCGAAATCAGTTGAAAGCTTAGTGGCGGTGACGTCAAGAGTCATGTGACCATGGAGTAGTCATGTAGTCCGTTAAAGCCTAATGTTAGCTTTTTACTTCTGGCGATCGCATTTAAGCTTCAAATGCGATATGAAAGGTGTTCATATGTGAAGATTATCTCACTGAACAAAACCTGTAAGTATCATAAACTTGTGTTAGCCACAGAGCCTATTTTCTGACATAATCCAAAACGCAATGCAAAAATCACATTCACTTTCTCTTCTGGGAACCAGCGCGATGCTAAACTTCCGGGTTTTGACGTCAGCCCTGGCACACTCTATTAAATTGGTCTCACGCTGAAGTTGTTGAAATCTGGTGCTTGGTCAGTGACTTCTGGTGTCAGACACAGACGGAAAAAAAAGCAGTCCTTGTATGTTGGCGTCAGGAGGAAATCCAGCAGGACGACAATGAAAGTTAAGGCAATGGATGTCCGGGGTGATAGATGGGTCCTTCAACCACTGACTTTCACCCGGGAGGCTGGAGGACAAACCCCGTTCTTCTTTACTTAACCCAACCACGTGTGTGTGTTGGCAAAACGTAACCACGTGCGTTTGTTAAAGAAAAAATATATATATTTGCGGTGTTGTACCGACATAGTGAGTTTATTTTGACAGAGACTGTAGAAATGGGATATTTCCTTTGAAAACAGAAGTGTATTTTGAAAACATATGATGCATGTAACAGGTAGAGCTTAACATACAACCAACGCACCCCTGGTACCTTGCACGTCGTATCTCGACATGGATAGTCCATGACCACACTTTGATATGTGATCCCTGCCAGTAGACGCTGTGCTGAAGGACCGTACCCAGAAAGGCTCTCCTCCCGGTGAACGGTCAGCTCAATGTCTGACCGGTCAGCAGGAGCTAACACAGCAACAGCTATCAAGCAATCACAATAAACTCATGCTGACAAACTTACCTCTGTTTTTAAATCCGTTAATATCATTACATAGCAGCCGTATGATGCTAACAGTTAGCCCTGTCACTGTGTGTGTTTGGACAGACTCCCACCAGCAAGTGTATATCAGAACAAACCTCCTGCTGGTTAAAAACAACAGTGCATTTGACCTTTGCATACAGAAATTTGAAGTGAATTTCATACAGGACGTCTCATTATAAAAATGTCTTCCAGCTAAATAACAAAGGCACATCTTCATAACATTTCAATGCCAGAAGTTTGGCTCCAGCTTGCGGTGAACATTTCAAACATTAAAGCATTTCACTAAAGAGTATATGACATTCAGTAGAGCTTAGAGTTAGTATAGTTCAGTATTAGTATTGTACCACTCAAAACCTGAAGCCTTGAATATCTAAAAGACCTGATTGAAAAGAGGAGTTTCCTTTATTTCTTGTATGTTTCCTCCAAGTTTACGATTAACAAAAATAAATGGATGAATAAAAGACTCTCCCTCTCAACCACCACAAGTCCTTTTATTCAATTTTAATACCCACTGTTTTTTTTAAAGGCTCCGTTTTGATGCATGTTATGGATGGACGTTTCCACGTTTTTATGAGAGCTTCCAGAAATTTGAGAATGTAAATATTCAGATGATTTCACGTTACAGGTGTTTTTGGAATGTGAAATAAATGATGTGAAACACTGTGGCTTTTCTGTTCATGAGGTGAGTGCTTACTGAATGTTCATTTCACCACCTGAAGACATCTCCAGTGTCATTTCCATTTCCTCATAACCACAGATCAGATGTAACCAGTCCAGTCCAGGACCTTTAAATCCAGTGTCTTCACCTGCAAGATCTCCTGAGACCAACAACCTGAACAGCTGATGCAACAGTTGGTTTGCACAACTGAAGAATTTCTGCGCAAACCATCAGAAACTGTCTCAGGGAAGCTCATCTGCATGCTCGTTATCATCACCAGAGTTCTGTCGTTGTAACTGACGTGTGGTTGCGAGGCCACATGGATGCGCTGCCAAATTCAGTGAAACAACACTGTAGACGTTTTATGGTAGTGAAATGAACATTAAGTTCACAGGCAACAGCTCTGGTGGACGTTCCTGCAGTCAGCATGCAAATAGCACGCTCCTTCAAGCTGTGACATTGTGTTGTGTGATTTAGAGTGGCCTTTTATTGTGACCATCCCAAGACACACCTGTGTAGTAATGATGCTGTTTAATCAGCATGTTGATATGCCACACCTGTCAGGTGGGTGGATTATCTTGTAAAAAAAGAAGTGCCCACAGAGTTTAACAACTTTGTGACCAAAGTTTGACAAATCTATTGATTGAAATTGAAATCTGTCAGATCTTTAACTTAAACCTCGAATCTGTCGAATCAAAACAGTGTAACTTCAGTTTGAGTGAAACAATTTTTATGTGTAAAACAATGAGCAGTAGACTGATCCAGAGCAGACACTAAGGGGTTAATGAACCTGCAGAATGGGTTATTGTCTCCTCCTCTCTGTCTCTGCCCTGACTTACCTGCAGTGTCCTGTCAGGTTAGTGTTGTTAGTATCATATACTATATGTGCCTGGGGACACAAGTTCTCTGGGATAGTACGCCTGAATTTTGGCAGCTGCTGTTAGAACCCAGTTGTCCGTAGCCAATGTTGCTATTGTGGCAACACTGAAATATGATGTTAACATGAACGGATCTATTCAGCTGTTCTATTTATGTACACAGTTTGTGTACACAGTGGGCATTCAGCGGCTTTATACATCCTGAAAGTGGAATATAATTAGTCAACAAGGCCTAGGTCCCAAAAATAAATAGCCAAAGTTGACTAGTGCAGCATTCTAGTCTACTGTACTAAAGTCCCATTCATCCACCTCATCTTCCTCCCCTCACTCTTTAAACTTAATCTCCTGACTTTCCAGCAGTACCTAAATCTCAGAGAATATAAGAGATTGGCTTCTACTATCCCTAACAGTGCTGCTGGTCTTTCAAACAGGGGAAGCTCACTTTAAGTTTACATCATACAATTTGTCATACTGTAGCGAGGCAGTAACTTATAAAAGGAACATTTAATTGAAGCCGTTTTTCAGCCACGCTCATGCCATAGAACCACAGCAAAACACATCTCAAAGATTTTCAGATTGGTTTGAAAATGAGCTAACTTATATCGCTTATGGAAATAAGGAACTCCAGACGGCACTCTGTCAGAAGACTCCACTCACAAATATCCCCATGAGACTGAGCTTGAAATGCGAAGCACTGTCAGTCACAAAGGGGTTTAGACTAGGCTGACCAAACGTCCTCTTTTGCCCGGACATGTCCACTTTTCATGTCCTGTCCGGGGCGTCCGGGGGGTGTTTATAAATTGATGATAATGTCCGATTTTCCTTGTTTGTGTGTGTGTGTGTGTTAGAGTGCAGCACGGGCCGCATATTTCTGTCCGAACCCGACAGTCATTATGTATTGTTATGTCTGAAACCGAAACGAGCCTGACTAATTACCAAAGCACTGAGTTTGTGTCACACAGTGGTTACAGGCTATTTAACAGGCCGGGCGTGCGCCGTGGGTGCTC